TGGGGCCACGTTAGACTGATTTAACTGTCGTAAATGAACTATTAGCAATCTTGAGTGAGGAATTAAGAAGTGTTATAATATACTTGAGTATACGCATCATGAAGCCTTATTCATAACTTAACAAACAAGTAATGAGTCCTGAGTAAGTGAATCTCATGAAATCTCCTAGTAAGTACTTGATCTAAACAAATTCCTGACTGTTAAATTGTGTTGTAACTAGTTAACGATTACAATCCTAACATGAACTGTGAATTTACAAACAATAAAACAAATTAACACCACGTGTTAGCGTCGTTGAAAATTCGCCCATTTCCACTTGGAAAAACCGCAAGAGTTAGCTACGCGTGTTGGGGAAACTGTGGCGTCATCGTCGTTACGATTAATTTTCGTTAAACAAAGGCTCTCTCTTTTTTATTAACTACCAAACCAACTAAACTTAACCTAGCTTCCTTACCGCGTGTTTTCACTCACTAAACCAAAACAACAGTGACGCTCCACCTAACAGAATGACTCATCTACCAAGCCAGCCAACGTCTACCAAGCCTCTCACTAGATACTACCAAGAAGATGCCTAGGAGCTAATAACTACCAGAAAAGAACTAAACGTGCACATAGCTACCTATGTTCAACGATTTTCTTGATTTTTTTTTCAAATTCAAGTTATTCAAATGCGATTTCATGTCGCTGTTAATTTTTTTCTGCGCGAAATTTTAATTCAAATTCGGTCTCCACAGTATATTTCTACTTCCTCGATTATGCTTTGCTAAAGTTATTTAGATATAACTTGACTTGCGCCCGAAATACAGGCGAATAAGTACAGATTTTTTGAAAAATTTGGGATTATAGGTAGCTTCATTGACGATTCATTTGTAAACGTTCTTATGAGACCATGTTACGGTAAGTTTCATCAAGAATGCGAGCGCAGCGAGCACGTTTAAGTGTTATTTAAAGTGACTCGTTAGTGTCCTCGAGAAGCTAAATAATTAATAGGAGGAAAAAAGATGAGCTGCAATTTAGATATTTTTTTACAAACACCTGAATGTTGAAAATCAAAACGGATTCATAAACCGCAGACGGAAACGCGAGATCTATTTTTCGAACTCTAGAGGTTATATAACATGAAAGTAGCCATTCTCCGGATGGACCCTATTACAGTATCTCCTTAGCTTACACTCGGAAAGACAAAACAAATAACATAATTAATTTTATTAATAAAACGTTATTGCCTAAAGTGCCTACTTTGTCTTTTTTAAGGCCTTTTTTGTACTTTCATGTGGCCTATTTTGGGGCCTATTTTTGGATTTTTGTAACCTAAAATCCCCTCTTTAGTTATCACCATCCTGTACTACGCTCACATTTTCGTGTTGAATTTTTTCAGAGTAATTTACTTTCACAAAGAGATCTCCAGAATTATTGTAATAAAAACTAAGTAAGCTCGCTGACCATTCGTAAATGTTTTTATGACACTAAATTAATTAGAAAAATTACATTCAGAATGCGAGTGCAGCGAGCAAATTCAGGTGTTATGCTCTAAATTATTATATTAATGAGAGAATTTTTTAGTGTCTAAAAAAGTAAATCTTGAAAATTTTTGTGAATACCAAAGTGGAACAGACCCTACCAACCTGAACGTGCTCGCTGCGCTCGCATTCTAAGGTTTTGTGGACGACTGAGAATTGTTAAATTGTAGATAATTTCCCGCAAAAAAATAAACGTATAAGTGAGTTTACAATTCTGAAAATTTTTCCAAAAAATGGTTAAGATGGATTCAATGGGCTGAGAACAAGTGTCAAATGTTACGAATCTGAAGTCATCGTCAAGACATCTATTCAAGTGAACGTGAAAAATTAATATACAATTTTCAAAATGTTTCCAAAAAAATGTCTCAAATGGGTTCAAATGACTGACAATTGGTGTCAAATCGGAAAACTGAAAAATCGAGAAATATCCAGAAATGGAGAAATCAAAACATTTTAAAATTCGAAATTTTCAAAAATTGAAAAACACAAAAATTTAAAACCGAAAAATCGAAAAATAAAAAATTTTAAGAATCAAAAAACTGAAAAACCGAGAAATCGAAATCCATGAAAAGTCGAAACTTGAAAGATCGAGCAGTTGAAACAATTAAAAATCGAAAAACCTGCAATATTAACATATCGAAAAACTGTAAAATCCAGGTATTTAAAAAATCCCACAATTGAAACGTTGAAAATTTGAGAAATCGAAAATTAGAAAAATCGAAATATTAAAAAACTTAAAAATCGGGAAATCGTAACATCAAAAAATTGGTCCAAGTATTTTCGACAGAAGTTCCCACGCCCCTTAAATACAATAAAATAAATCCAGCTTTTTGGAAAAATTATAAAACCTGATTTTGCGAGTTTAATTTTTTTATGGGAAAAATTATAAATTAAAATAAAGATATTTATGTAACATTAAAGTAAATGTAAAGAAGCGTGCTGGGTGTACGTTCCAAATGAGTTTTCCCTTGATAAAAATTTGTGATAACATCATTAACATTTTTGGAAAGATACTTAAATCACTTTGGATAGGTGCAGGGTAATACTAACGATAACAGTATTGTATTCCCAAATTTTCAGTAAAATTAATTCATTAATTTTTATGAGTCACCCTGTATAAGAAATTTAAAAACTTTTAATGCAGTAATAAATCACAAGTGTAGTTTCATCATACATATTTTGTACATTTTGAATAGGATTTATTCGGCAAAATTTTGAGATGACGTCATCAATTTTTTGGGAGGGGATAAACGAATAAATTTTGCTTAACGATGTACCATGATTACGATAATCTTAAAATATTTACAAGATTTCAGAGCAATTGGTTCTGCAGTTTCAAATTAAGTTACATTCCAAAATGTTATTCAGTTTTGAATTTTTTGCAAAAATTCTGGATGTTTAGGGTGAACATTCGACACAGATTTGCACACCACAAGTGCAGGAGTATCTTATTTTATAAAATTTAAGAAAAACTTCTACATGATATTCCTAATGTACATACAAAATATGACAACAATCGGTACAGTGGTTTCGGAGATTACTTGTCTAATAAAAATGGATACAGACACCAGACAGACAGACAGCTAGACAGACAGACAAACAGACAGACGGAAACGGGAGACCACTTTTTTCGTGCTTTAGGGGCCATGACACGTCAAGAGAATATGAAAATGACAATCCGGTCGATGAACTCGATTACTATACTTCCAAAAAACCAAAAATGTAAAATTTAGAAATCCAAAAATTGAAAAACCGAATAACTGAAAAATCAAAAAATGAGAAATCGAGAATTCTCCATAAACTGAATTCTCGAAAATTTGAAGTACTTGTCGAAAAAACGAAAAGTCAGAAAATTCAAACATTGAGAAAGTGAAATATGAATAGATCGAGAAATCGATAAATCGAATAATCGATAAGCTGAAAAATTGAAAAATCGGGAAATTGAAATACGTAACTCATAAGTGATCAGGTATTATTAAAAAAAACTGATTCAACGTTATATAAAAGTTTCAGAAAAATTATTCTAAAAACTATGTTCACTTTGATAAACCACACGTATGGAGCCACAATATTTTGCTTATCTTAAATAGGATTTATTCTGCAAAATTTTGAGATGACGTCATCGATCTTTTTGGGAGGGAGTAAACGGGTATATTTTGATTAACGATATTTACACGAACTTTAAAGTCCAGAGTATTCAGTTTCACAGCTTCAAAGTTAAATTGCAAAATGTTATTATAAAATTTTCATTTTTTTTCCAAAAATCTGGATGTATAGGTTAAAAACTCAATACAAGTGCAAGCGTATCTTATTTCATCAAATTTAAATAATATGTATCAACGTAAATTTTTGACGTGACGTCATCCTGTTGTTGGCGGAGATTAGTAAATTTTTGTAGGCAAATCTGGATTTTACAACGAATGAAAAATTCATCAGAACTGAGAAGAGGGTGGGTGGGCGGGGCTTATATTTTGCACTTTTTTTAACATATCTAGTCTTCTTTTCCCAACACGAAACTGAAACATGTTTAAAATGGTGTTACTTTATTTTTTAGATTATTACACATTCCCTTAAGTCATGAAGCCTTTGAGAGTGAACTTGGTATTATTAGACAAATTTCCATTAATAATAAATTATTAAGCACCACTTAGGCACCATATGAGACAAACAATATCCTTAGTTAACTGAAAGAAGATTCTTGGAATTCCGGGAAATATTGAATAGGGAGGGGTTTTAAATATTGGATTTTGTCCTCTCTGTTATCAAAATTATTATTGTCATTAGTTAAACCTTTCAGGTAACATCTTACTGCTATTATGTTAGCTTACATCTGGAGTTCCTCAGGATTCTAATTTAGTACCACTGATATTTTTACTTCTTAATATTATTTAAGTAAGGTTTCAGTTTCGCATTTTTGGCTAAAGTTTCCACTCGATGTGTTGTTTTTCTAATTACTACATTGTTTCATAATTATTGTTAATTTTTAAATTAAGTGTTAATATTAATATTATTTCAAAATCGGTTTCTAATCAAATCCATTTTTCTCACAAAAAAGTTAGTAGCTTGCTAACACGTATATCAAATCACATCGTGATGGGCACGTGTTGCCCATAAAAAGTTATGTTAAACCATTACCATTAATTTTAATTACGATCAGCCATTATTATTTTATTCTGATTTTAATTAATTTTGGAACAACTATTGATCTCCAGAACACAATCAAACACACGTATGTATAAATATTTATATAAAAATTGTATTGCAACGCCCTCAATTTAGAACAAACTGTGTGACTTTTAGTTACATTGTCACCAACAAATGTTTATCCGATTTATAATTAACGTATCAAGAGAGTAATAAACACGACTAACACAAGCGGCAGGAAGCGGCAAACTTTTTGATCACGTAGTGCAAACCTGATGCATGGTATGCGGCACACTGTGTATTTTTATCAATAAATAAGTGTATTTTTTTCTTCAGGAAACTGGCCGACATCTCGAGGTCGACCCGCGGCGTGGTGGTGCTGCTGAGCGACCGCCCCTCGGCGGTGCGCATCCTGGACGACGCCAGGCGCCTGAACATGATGGACGGCCACTTCGTGTGGCTGTGGGTGGACACCGCCGCCAACATCAGCGTCAGCGAGGACGTCAACATCAGCGAAAAAGACAGACTGCCAGAGGATCGATACAAACGTAGTGTAGTTAAAAGTGATATCAGTGATATGCATGTGAATTATTTATTAAAAAACGATCAGTTCCTTTTGTTTAATCGTAATTATGGCGTTGAAAGTTCTAAATTCAAAGATCGTAACGATAGATCTCAACGTTTATTTAGTGTTGTGGATGGTGAGTACAAAGGGGAACTTCCGGCCGGTTTGCTCAGTCTCAAGCCCCTTCCGGTCAGGGTGGACAGACATCTGGTCAAGGGAGCTGTCAGGCTTCTGATAGCTACCCTCAAATTGGTGCTGAGGAGGTCGCCTTTGTGGATGCTACAGAGTATCGCCAAGGGGCAGCTCACCACCAGCTGCTGGAAACCGCTGGGGGCGAGGGAGTTCAACTTCTCCAACAATTTTGGAAGGTAGGCGGTACATCGATTTTTGCGATAAGGTCAAGGTATGAAATTTAGCAGCGCACAGCAAAAAAATTTTGCTTTAATTAAAGGTTCACGTCTAATAAAAGTCTATTCGATCTGGAACACGTCAGGGCGCGCGTTTGAGTCTTCGCTATTCGCGAGGCTTCTTAATGATATACGGATTGATTGATTCAGTTTTGTACAACGTAGTAGATAAATTATTTATTGCAATTTTCTTTATGACCTAATTTAGAGATTTCATTTAGAAGTATGCAACTTTATAAATTCTCAAGGTGAGTGTTGTATTATTATCGTAAGAATTTAAATAATACTAAAAATAATTTCGATACAAAGTTATACTTCATTATTAGAGCACTAGCAGGCTTCTTTTTGCAGTGGTGAGAGATACTTTAATTAATCACACAACTTCCGACCTGCAGATTCGCAATATACACCAAACTTTTACCATCCCAACTGAATAATTTAAGAGGCGTCGCGTCAGCTACAAATTGCGTCTAGAATATAAATTTGAGTTTGGTTATTTTGCTCAAGCAAAAACCAGCTTTGACAAGGGTCACTGAAAACAAACCTTTACATACGTCATCTCAACCTGGAAACGCGCCCGACGTAATCTTCAGAATCTGGGTTAAGAGGAGATGAAGCGATGGACGCTACGACGGACTCAACTTTAGGGTCGTTTTGGGGATTTACAAAAAGTCAACGTAAGAACTTGATTAAGATGAATTATAGGCTCGGGGGTTGGAGCAAGTTTCGGACAAACAATAATGGAAAATTCAAAGCACATATTTTCAGAGCGAGCAAAAGTTTCTTTTTCAAACTTCATCGCCATTAAAATGAAAATTGTCTGGCGGAACGTCAATTACGGTTCCGCTCCTCAATAACATAAAGTTGTAACGGGAATTGCGCCCGGAGTCACATGCGCGTTTCCGGAGTTGCACCCAACTACTAATAGTTTCCTTCCCCGGATTCGTCATCTGCAAAATTTCGAATTAAATCGGACCCAAGGAGAGATATCGATATGTTGGGATTCGCGGCACGTAATTTACTTTGTGAAGGTGTTGGGCATTTTTACGGCAGGTGAAGGGCTCGGTGTTGGAATTTTAAAGACATGACTGACAACGTTTTAACTGAAATCTCGGAAGATTTTATACGATTTAGAGCTTAAATGTGTTTTATTGTGGTGACACAGTGACAAGTCGTGGCTGGATTTGAAAGAATTTTATCCATATAAATGTGGGAAATTTTGATAACGTATAGTTGACGCACTGGCCAACAGTGAGAATAATTTGATATTTAAATATTTCCAGGATCTACCAAAAATTATTCAATCCAATCGACAAGTAATCCAGTTAATTTAAACTATTTAATTCTACTCAAATACGGCAACAATTCTGCGACTATCAAAATGTACGTGGTCTAAGATCTAAGGTCACAAATTTATACAACTCTATAGTTACTACTGTTTATGATATACTTAATATGCTTAACCAAAACATGGCTAACAAAAGTTATCAACAATTGTGAGCTGTTCCCATCAGATTTCAACGTTTATCGGGGCGGTCTCAATATACCAGGAGTCACAAGAGGTGGAGGCGTTTTAATTGCCCTTAAAAACAATTTTGTCTCTGAAATTCTAAATATGGACTCAGGTACTAAGTCAGTTACCAGTATCGATATCGTTGGAATTAAGGTTTCTCTTAATCAGGCAGCTCATTTTCGGATTGTATTATACAGGGTGCCGCACCCAAGTCTAGACATAGGGCATTAACATGGCAAATTGGTTTTTATTTTATAATATCTCCCCAGATCACTTCAAAGTTATTATTGAGTGATGCCTTTGTGGAGGTCGAAGAGGGCTATCGACCAGTATTTTTTTCAAATCGTTGCATCGTGCACATTTACTGTTAGATTCGTTCGGAAAAAAAGTTCTTTTAAGAAAAAAATTAAAAACATAATACTCAATATTCCTCTGAACCCTATTGCAAAGTACGAACATTAATAAAAAGACAAATTTCTGAATCTTTGAAGAAGTATATTAGTGAAACCGAAAAAAATACCGAATTTAATCCAAAAAAGCTGTGGTATGTACAAACAAAAAAAAATCACGCATTCCGAACAGAATAAAAATTTACTAGTTGAGGTATTTGAAGGATTTGCAGCCGTTGTTAATGCTTCCTGGGATTACCTCTTCAGTGTTTATGCTGACTCCAAATAAGGCTCCAAGTGATGTCAATTCTAATTTTGTAAAAAATACCTCTTGCTGTGAAAAAGATATCGGAGATTTAATAAAAATACTGAAAGACGAAGTTATAGCAGGTACTGCCCGAATACCTGCATTGAAGATTGTTGATCAGTTTTTGTTAAACCACTGTTGATTTTCTTCAGTTCAATGTTAACTGCCCATTTCCAGAAATTTGGAAGCTGGAATATGCCCTGCTCTGAAAAAAGGGTATTTTTCAAATCTGGAAAATTATAGACCTAAATATTTCAATTTTTTCTAACTGCTCTAAAACATGCGAATCAATTTTTTTTATTGATAGAACAACTGACGCACAACAAGGCTTTGTGCAAAGCAGATTCACCATTACTAATTTAGCGTGTTTTACCCAGTTTCTCCATGAGAATTTGGATTCTAGTATTTGATAAGATGCAACTGACTAAGAAAATAGAGTGTGGGTGGGCGGGGCTAGGATTTGATAAGATGCGACTGATTTTGGCACTTTTGACATTTTCAAACATTAGTTGTAGACATTTTCTTGTAAAATTTTATAGGGTAGAATGAAATTTCCAAAACAGTATACCGAAAAACTTACGATTAGCATCTCGTTTCTTTTTTTTAACAGCCAATGTTCTATTAGTTCCCGTTTCCACACTATAAAAGAACATATAATTAACCCCGCCCACCCACCTCGCCTCCATTTCAATGATATATATTTTATCCAGTATGAATGGAAGATGGATCTTATACTGAACACAAATAAAATCGTTAGAATGAAAACAGCGCGGGTGGGCGGGGCTAGTGTCTGCTAAGAAAAGACTGATTTTGGTAAATGACATATCCTCTAAGAAAATAGAGGGTGGGTGGGTGGGGCTAGGATTTGATAAGATGTGACTGATTTTGGCACTTTTGACATTTTCAAACATTAGTTGTAGACATTTTCTTGTAGATTAGATAATAATCCAGAAGCCATTTTCGGCTTCGTTTCTTTGGAAATTCCTACCGTTTTTCAAAATCGCCAATCGACATATAGCAATTTTTACAGTTCCGTCAAAATCAGTCGGTATAAAATTTTTGTAGATAAAAAAGGAAATTATTATTAATTTTTGTTTCACAAAATACAATTATTTGAAGAATGTATTTTGTGGTTTTTATTTATATTCACAGAAATTTTTAAAATTTGTTTATTTGAGACAATAGAGAAGTCGGAGCAGGTCAGGTTACGGTAGGTCAATTGCTTTCTTATAGAAGACTGTAGGAAGAAGTTAAACTTAGCCCCGCCACCATCCGTTCAATAAATTTTTTTCTTCTGAAATTAGAAATAAATCTAAATCTCATAGCAAATGGTACTGTTCTGGAAATTTCATTTTACCCTATAAAATTTTATTGACAATAACGAGACGGACACTAGTACAATAGTAAGAAGTTTTTACGGCGCAGTTCATCCGAATCTGTCAGAAAACATTTATCACGTAGTTGTATTGTACTCCCAGTTTAAAGTGGTTTTTATGACAAGATAATAAACATTATTACCTCTTTATTACCCCACGACAGACAATATGAGTTGCATAACAAAGTACGGCCTGTAAGGAACCGACCAGTTTCTTATTTATGGCTAGGGATTTACTCCATTGTCACCATTATCAACTTCGACACAATGAACTTATCATAAAAACCACTTTAAACTGGGAAGACAATACGCATAGGGTCGGAATTCCGGCACGCGGCAACTTTAAGTTGTAAATATCTCTTGCTATTGTATTACTGTCCATCTCATTATTGCCAATAAAATTTTATAGGGTAGAATGAAATATCCAAAACAGTATACCGAAAAACTTACGATTAGCATCTCGTTTTTTTTTTTAACAGCCTACGTTCTATTAGTTCCCGTTTTCACACTATAAAAAAACATATAATTAACCCCGCCCACCCACCTCGCCTCCATTTCAATGATATATATTTTATCTAGTCTGAATGAAAGGTGAACCTTATACTGAACACAAATAAAATCGTTAGAATGAAAACAGCGCGGGTGGGCGAGGCTAGTATCTGTTAAGATAAGACTGATTTTAGTAAAAGACATATCTTCTAAGAAAATAAAGGGTGGGTGGGCGGGGCTAGTACTTGCTAAGATAAGACTGAACAATATTAAGAGTAGTCACTGGAATGAAGAGAGGGTGGCTGGGTGGGGCTATCGCTTTCTTATAAAAGACTGTAGGAAAAAGTTAAACTTAGCCCCGCCCACCCACCCGTTCTCTCATTTTTTTCTTCTGAAATAAGGAATAAATTTTATAGCAAATAGTATAACAAAAAAAAGTTACAATTACTGCTTTTATTAATTTTTTCACAGATTCTATTATTAGTTTCCACTCCCACTCGACAGAAGAACATAATTAGCCCCGCCCACCCACCCTGTCTCCTTTTTAGTGATTGATTTTATCCGATCTGAATGCAGTGAATAATTTTATACTGAATAGAAATAAAATTAGTCGTTAAAATGAGAAGAAGTGGGGTGGGTGGGGCTAGCACTTGCTAAGATAAGACCGAGTTTTGCAAAATGGCATACTCTCAAGTCGATATGGTTTATACCGGCTCTGCTAAGGCGTTTAACCGCATTAATCATTATGTTCTTTTACACAAATTTCGTTTATTTGGAATTAGTGATGCCTTAACTGAAATATTAAGATCATATTTAATCAATCGTACCCAATCAGTAGAGTACAAAAATGTTGATTATAAATATACCGGGTGTCTGGAAAATGGCGGA